CAAGTATTATTACTGAAATAATTTACTGAATGTCTACTATGTGCTAAATATTAAATCATTTTTTAAAAGCTAGAATAAAAAAAAATACAATCAGTATCCTTTTATCAATATAATGGGAGGGAACTTTTGAGAAAATTAAATTGATGTCCTTTAACTCTGTAATTTCTTATTTCCTGTTCTATTCACACAGGTCTTTATATAAATACACATTTCTACATCACATTCAACCAATTTCAAAGACAATTAAATGTTACACCAAGGAAGATTTGTACACCCCAAGACAGGACAGTAGCGAAGACTCGAAACCTCTATTTAAAATGAATGAACCGCGAAAAAGCTTCTATCCGTGAAATAATATAAGATTCCCTTTCCATACCCCACCCCCTCACAAAAAAAAAAAGCTAGAAAAGGACACTAAATGTGCCAACAAATTCATATACTCATGGTGATTATATTCTTAATAAAACAATATCCAGGAAATCAGGTTGGTCCTGTTACTACCAGCATATACTCCTGTCACACCCACGTGCTCTGCCCCTCATTCTCCATTGAAAGGGTGGAGCATCACCAGTATCATATCTTGCACATTCCCATCCCTGTCTCACAATCCCAGTAATCTTCTTAAAGATTATGGAACCTGGTACCAGGGTCAGCATACATATTTCAGTCTTCTCTATGCATAAAGCACATACAAAAATAGACCTACCCTAGTCTCAGAATCTGCTGCTGACATTTACAAAAATCCTGGCTTTCCCACTCTTGCTATTTCTCCAAAATAGTATCTCTCCATCTGCAACTAAAGTCCAAAACAAGGGGTAAATAAATAGCACAAGATGCAAGTACTGATTCTCTGCTGAACTATGCCAGTGAAATGAGATGTCACCTCATTTTTTAAATGCAATTACCAGTCATAAATTCATCTGTGACTCTCTAGGTTCCCTTTAATTTTTTTCCCTAGTGCTTGTGCCTTAAGGTCATTTCACAATTAGCATCTTACAAACACATGCAACCAACAACAGCGCACACAATTCTTATAGGAAGGCCTGAGTGTTTTAACAACTCTAGGTAAGTGTGGTTGGGAAGGGAATGAAAATAAAATCCTGATTTTTATTCTCATACATGGGCTCCCTTCCCCGCGGAGATGGCTAATCTAGAAATTGGTTAAATTCTAATAACCTAATTTTTTTTAATTTTTATGTCCAGAAAGAGATTAAACTCCCTAGGAAAAAGAAGAACTCTAAGTTGATGCCTACTCTTTGGTTTTAATCACAAGACTAACACTACAGAAAAATATTCAACTACTACTAATTATCCTCTCCATTAAAAAATTTTTTCTCTAAAAAAGTTTCATGAGGAAATAACTTAAGTGATACTCATTAGCTTATTTTTCTCTTTCCAAAACTTTTATTTAAGCATTAAATCTACAGAACTAGCTCAGTTCTAACCGAGAGTATACCAAAAGATTTTATTACTAACATTTTAACAAAAATCGCCACAGTACCCTTCTCTATTTTCAGTCAAATATCATGTGATTCTACAGAAGAAATTGTATAACTATTACCATTTATAAGGAACTGTATCGCTATTACCATTTATGGTTAAATCTGTTTGTGAATGAAAAAAGAAATTTTAGGTTTTATCAGTAAGTAAAAATATTTTAAGTATACTGATTTAAACTTGGTACGAGTTTATCGAAAATGGCAAAAATTCTGCTGGAACCCTCACCAAATGAAAACAGCTATTATTTATGATGATGATGATGATGATGATGATGACTGTTTAAATACAAGGTTTATGTAAGAATAATCATTTTATAGGAAAACAAGTTGTAAGCAAGCATGAAAGATTAAATTAGGGCTATATATCTAAAAATCTAAGTCACAATTTAATTAAAAAATATTTTATTGTGTTTAAATTACCACAGTGCTATTAATTCTAACTAGGTTTCAAGTGTGAGACTTTTGAATATACATAAATATATTATTTTGCACTTTAATGGGAAACATTTAAATAAAAACTTGTAGTTTCCTGTTCCCAAAAATTAATCTGACATTTTCAGGTATAGGAAAATTACAAAATGTACAATTAAAATACTGGAAAGTTAATATTATTGCCAGTAGCCAACTGCTGTCCAAATTTCAAGGGGAGTTACTATATAATAAGTTTTCTAAAACGTGAACTCCTCTACTCTCATCTCAGCACTTTCCTCAACTTTCCCATTATAATCAACAATCTAACTCTATGGTAAAGTCTTCCAGACCAACACCATCAGAATTTATTTTTAACTACTGACTACTTCACAAATATTTCCCTTCAATCCAATCCAAAGTCCTCCCAGTCCTTCATTCACACTGTCCCTCAAATACGTTCCTTTGCACCCCATTTTTATATTTATTTCCTCACTATTTTCAACATACTGTTCTCCCTAAAAGGGTTCTAATGTCTCTAATCTATCAACCTAGTTGCCCAAATTATCTTTAAATATCTTGTACAACCACCAACAGTGAATTCCAAACTCTCATAAATCTCAACCAAACTCTCAGCTAAGAGGATCTTAGAAGATCCCCTTCTACTATCCACCAGCAAGTATTAACATACTTCTCAAATTTCATCTCTTCTTATTTTCCTATTTAGGTCCTTCTAATTCAAATTCACCAACTGGTTTGGTAAATACAAAAATTATTTACCTGTCATACAAAAATTCCATCTCTGTGCCTCGGTCCATTCCTTCCATCTACAGTCCTTTGTGCTTCTCTATAAATTCGAGTTACTGCCTCCTTCTACACCTGTCTTAAAACACATTTTCTCGACAAGAAGTCTCCGCCCCCATCTGCCTCACCCCTTTGTCTCTGTGAATGAAGTATTCTATTTGTATTTATAACTTTAAGTCACCATGCTATTGTTTTCATATTTTGTCCCATAATCAACCTTTACAACAAACAATATTTTGAGGCCAAGGATGATAATTTCTCATGTATCTCTCACCTTAGAACACCAGCACTATAACAAATGCTTAATGATTGCCCTTTTAAAATGTCCTCAAAATCAAGATTGTCAAAAACACATTTATTAGCACTGACGGAACAACTTTTTGAAGGTTAACTTTTACAGTAACGTAAAATTAAAACATTTTAACGGACACTCTAGAAGAGTTAGTGCATGCTCAACAACCATATCAAGAATTAAGGGGTGATTTTCAAAGAAGATCTTGGAATCAAAATGAAAAAGTCCAAAAACTTATCATTACAAGCCATTGTATTCTGCTTTCTAAACTGGATGTAATAAATTAATTACCCAAAATTGACTTCAAGTGGCTTTTAAACTTATTACCAAGATGAAAAACACACAAACACTCCAGGTACAAGAGGCTCTTAAGTATCTATTATAAGATTTGCTTCATCATAGCTGAAAATTATACGAGAATTTTTAAATATTTCTTTTAAATGACCCCATGAAGTGCTTAGAAAGCGTGACACTTCCCTGAAAGATGCATCATCAGCTTCGCTCTTCACATACCCAACATTCTGTACCAGCTAGTCACCCAAAAAAAAAAGATAACTTTCAAAAATAATCTCTCATTCAGCTATTACCTTAGGCTACCCTGTTTAAGGCAAGTTCCAAAAGTCAATATGAACTGAAATTCTGAGTGACTGTTTTATGTTGTTAAAGGATGTAACAATTTCAAGTAACAGCTTATATATATGTATTTTAAATCTCAGTTCTTCACTGCTCTCATTCTAGGCAGCAAAATAGTTTCTCTCTGCTCTCACCATGCCTCCTAGTCCAAGAATAAGGAAACAATATAGATATTTTTGCCAAATTCTGGAAGTAGATTTAAATAAACTGTCATTAAATATCACATAAACATATCCGTAAATAGAAATAGGTTGGAACACTGGAGACCTCAAGAACATAAGACTTTTCGGCACAAATCTGGAACAAGAGTCTACCGACAGCCCTTAACACACCCAAATAGCCCTATTATACCCGTGGCCATAGCCTTCTGCAAAAACTGAAAGATCTAAATCCGTATTATTACGAACTTCAGTTTTATCTAAAGGCGGCAGGAAACCAATGCAAAAATATTTTAAATAGACCCTAGAAGGGTTCCCTGAACTCTTGATCAATGAACCAGTACCGAAGGCAACAGCACCCCAAAACTGAGTTTAAATGACGAATCAGTGACAATCACCATTAACTTGGTACTTGGCAATATGACAATGCAAACCTCAATCAAAACTTGGACCTACTTCCAAGTTACCTTTTGAGCAAACATAAATTACATCGTGGTTGACTGGCCACGTCAAAACGGGGAGATTGAGATAGCATATTAAGCCACTTATCCAATTTAAGACAATGCACGTAGAGATACTATGGCTGTTGGTGATCTATGAGCTCCCACCGGGGAGGAATCAATGCTTGCCCGGAAAGGTGAATGCTGGTTACTGAGCAAGTTCATCTCTGGATTAAGAACAAATAATTGGTATGACTGTCACACAGACAAGAAAAATGTTTAGGAGTCTGTAACATTCGGGGTCTCTCTGAAGTGCACAAAACTACGATAACCCCTGAGATCTGAGCTATGTAAAACAGCCCTTGTTCCAAAACGCATACACTCAGTACCCAGCGGCTCATGCATCAAGTCTTGTCCTTTCTTCAAAAGGTTGAGCACGCTCACGCCTGCACCGTGGAAATACTCAAGCACTCGATAAAGCAGACGACCAACAGCAAGAGAAGTGCAGCAAAGAAAAACGCTTCAAATCAAATTGTCCACATAAAAAGCGTCTTCTCTCAACTCAAGGTTAATGAGATCGGGGGAGGGGATCTGAGCAGAGAAAGCAGGGAGCTGCCTCATCCTTGACTCAAAGCAGGTTCTGCCCTTTTCCATTCCCCTCTGACTGCTCCATCAGGAGGGCCAGGATTCCAAGACCCTGATATTTCAAGGCTGCTTATTTGAAGGGTAAAGCGAAGAAAGGGTGTAGAATAAAATCAATACTCACTGCTAACTTTCATGCTGCCAAAAGCCGAGGGCTGCTGCACCGGCTTGCAGCTCTCCGCAAAGGAGGTGGTTCTGGGCCGCCCTGACATGATCACTCTCTTTCCGAATCACCTTCTTTTCCTTCCTTCCTCCTTTTCTTCCTTTTGTTGTATGGTGGGGTGTTAGGTTAACGATAAATGCAGCATTAAGTTCTCCCACCAGGAAAAAAAAAAAGAAAGAAAAAGAAAAGAAAAACAAAAAGACTTCGTCCTCTTGGCTTTCCACTCCTTTTTGTATAGCTATTAAAAAAAAACAAAAAAAAAAAACAAAAAACGAGCGATGTATATATTTCGCCTTCAAGACAGAGCTGGACGGAGAGTTAAAATGTAGCTGATGGGGGGCTAGGAAAAAAAAAATACAGTTTCTCCCCCTCCCTTGCCTTGGAGGGGAGAAAAGGGGGGGGGGCCTAAAAAAATATATCACGTGAAATGGGGGCAAATACTTGATTGAAAATAAGCACTCTGAATATCCTATTTTCCTCGGGGATTTTTTTTCCGAGTCAATGAAGAAGGGAAGCGGCGGAAGGATCACGAGTCCACGCTGAGAAGAAGGGGGATGGGCGGAGGGAGGGAGAGGGAGGGGCGGCTCGGCTCGGGGCTGCGTCGGGCGGCGCTGCGGCTCCGGCGGCGGCGGCGGGATCCGGCGGGCTGACGGCGGGGCCGGCGGGCGGGCGAGCGGCGAGTCGCGAGTCAGTCAGCGACGGGCGGTGGCGGCGGCTCCTCTCCTCATTGCGCCAGGAGCAGCGGCAGGCGGCGGCTGGATCCAGCGGCCATGGCGGCGGCGGCGGTGCTGGTGGTGGCGAAGGCAGCTCCCTTCAGACCCCGGGCAGCGGCTCCTCGGCTGCTCCCCATACGCCGGGGACATGGGAACCCGGCAACCGAGTCCGTCCCTCGGGGCCCCCTCCCCCGTCCACGGCACCAGCGCGGCCGCCCTCCCGCCCCTCGCCTCAGTCGCTGCCCGCTCAGGAAGTGTCCGCGCGTTGCCCCCCGCCCAGAGCCCTGTCAGCGGCCGCGGGGCCGGCTCCTCCTGGCTTCCTTCCTTCCTTCCTTTGTCACTCGGCCCGGGCGGCGGCGGCGTTGGCGGCGGCAGCAGCAGCAGCAGCACAAGCCCGCATTCGCCCGGGTCGGGGGCTGCTCTGTGTGAGGCGCGCTGTCTGCGCAGCCGCCTAGCTCGTCTCCACTCCCCCTCCCCCCCCACTCGTCCTCCGCCTCCTTCCTCCCCCACCCAGCCTTACACCGCCCTGCACCCGGCCGCCCGCGTAACAGGCGTCTGGGAATCGCCGGCCGAGCCCCGCGCCCGCCCGCTTCGGCTCAGGAGCCGAAGCCCGAGCGGAGCCAATCACGGGCGTCGTCTGTTTGCGGTTTCTGTCGGAAAAAGCCGATCGGGCTGGAGAGCCAATGAGAAGTGCCGCTGGAAAGTCACGCCCCAGAAGCGGAAAATGCCGAAGACAGCCGAACCGCAAAGTGGGCACGCCTTGTTCTGTGGCTGGCTAGAGAAGAAATTCGCCCCTGGCCATAGTGGCCAATCAGAGTCGCCGGCCTTCACGGAAAAGCTTGGCGAGTTAAGGACGGTGAATCCCAGAGTTGCTGGTGAAACCGCACTGTTGGGCGTCGCGGCCGCTTTGTAATTGGCCGAAAACTCCGCCGGGAGTCTAGCTCCCTCCGTGATTGGAGCAGGGGCTGGGGCTTCCGAGGTCACTCCGGCCAGTCAGGACGCCTCGTCCCTGCCCAAGGAGGGGAGAAGAGAAAAGCGGAGGGAGGGCGTCTATAAAGCGCCTTTTCATTGGCCTGAAGCGCTGGAGCTGGGGAGGGGAGGCGTAAGGGGGAGGGGGGAACCGAAACCCGCAGCGCTGGCCAATCGGCGGCCGTGGCCGTCCAGTCGCAAGACCTGGTTGCGCTGTGATTGGCCGCCGGCCTGCGGCGGCGGTCCCAGGAGCTGGGAAGCCGCGCCGAGGAACTCGCCTGAGGTCGTGGCGGAAGGTCTGACGGAGTCGCCTGCGGCCGCCCCAGCCCGAGTGGAAACCGCAGCTAGGGAGCGGACCCCCGACGCCGCCCGCCCGAAACTGCTGTGGTCGGTGGGCTGGGCCCGGCGCGTTCGAGCGCGCAGAGTGTAGGGCCTCTCCCCACCCGCCAGGGGCTCTCGGCGGGGCGCAGCCTGCTCGGCGCGCCCGCCTCGGCGCCCCGACGGCCATCGTCTCCCCCGAGAGGGCCGGACGGGCCCAGCTCGGGCGCCTCCCCGGCCGGGCGCCGCGTCTCGAGCCGAATTGGGACAAAGCGCCCGGGGAGGCAGCCCTTCGGGGCCACCGCGCCCCACCCAGCCGAGGTGGCCATTGGTAGCGCGAGGCCGGCTGCGCTTCGTGCGCGCGGCCGGGCCCGGCCTCTGGAAACGCCCCTGAGGAATGAGCTCATGCTGGATGCGCGCGCTCCTCAGGGCGCGCCCGCCCGGCCCCGCGCGGGCCCCGGGAGCAGGTGAGGGAAATGCGGTCAGGCCGGATATCCTGAAGCCGCGGAAGATGCGGGGAGTCAGACTAATTACCCTTCGTGGCGTTTGGGACTTTTGGAACGAGGGAAATCCACTGAAGTGCTGGCGCAGGCGGTTTCGGACGCGCTCCCGTGTTCATTGTTACCCGGGGAGTCGAGTCCCTTGCTCGCCTGAGGACAGGGAGGCACGGCCACGTCAGGCCGGCAGGAAAAGGAGAATGGACTGTGATCCCGCGGTGCCTGTAATTAACGCCTGCAGAGTCATCCCTTTCTGTTCAAATACGAAAGCACGTGTAAAAAGACTCAGGGGTGGTGAGGTTACCTCGCTGCTGTTTTGAAAAACTGGGGAGGGACGGGCTTGGTGCAGAACAAAATAAGCTTTGCTTGGAGATAGGATCGTTCTTGATACCGTTTGCAGGCGGAAATGTCTACAGGGACGAGAAAAGTACAGCGAATAAAATCAGCCTGGTGTAAGACAATGCGGAGTGAAAAGGATGTGACAAATCGGAGTGTTCCTGCGCTAACTGAAGGGAGCAGCTGTTCAGCCCTAGCAGATTGCTGCCCTCAGGAATGTGGGTCCAGTGTTCCGAGGTAGTCTGTATTTTTTCTCCCAAGGGAAAACATGAAGCTGGATTTAAGTGTCGGCAACCAATATTTTTAAAACCCTGAAGGTCAAATTAAAAACATCCTGGGGTAAATGTAACCAACATTCAGTCACTTGGTAATCTCAAAATAGTAAAGATATTCTTTGCACTTAAAAGAGAGCATGAGGTCTCTAGATGTCACCGGAGGAGGAAAAGCAAACTGGGCATCTGGCAAATTGGCCTCTCCATAAACACTGTTATGAAAGACCTTAGCCACCAGTCCCTAAAATGCTGTGAGGCAAAGTTTTAAATCCTGCCCTCCCCCTTTACTTCCTATCCCTTATTATACCATCAGGAAAGTGACTAACAAATGCTTAGGTTATACACCTTGGAAACATGACTTCTTTTGTATATAAACCAGTATACCTTATGGTTACCATTAATAGTTTTACTGTTAACTGCCTTCAAATACTTTGATTTTATGTTGTTAAAAAAAATCTGTCCAAAGGAAGGAGTAAGTTTTATAGGGGAAAAAACAATGTATTTCAGATAAAAAATAGAACTTGAAGTTTGTGGAATACAAAACCACTGAAGTTAACGTTCAGTGATTGTTTCCGTGAACTTTCAGACTGTTACTTTACCTTTCCACCTATCAACTTCTTATCAGTTTATAACAAATAGTTAATGTTTACTGAGTGTTTACAATGTTCCCGATACTGTTCTTAATTGCTTCACACTATCTCAGATTTATCACAATCGTATGAAGTAGGGTTATCCTTTTCATTTTTTAGATGAGGAAACTGAGGGCCTAAAAGGTGTGCTAAAGTAGCTGCTAGTTAAAGTAGCAGAACTGAGGTTCAGATTGCTTGTTCTTGGCCTCTGCTCATATTTTTCTCTCTAACACAGTCCTCCCTACCTCCCTGGTACATCTTGATTTATCTTAAAGTCTAAGCCTTATACCTTGAACTATGAGTGTGTGGTTTTGAATATATAACCTAATTTGGTTTCTAACAGTTTAGTTTCCTCTAAGGCTCATCAAATATTCCCTTGTACACATCAGTGATAAATAAGCCACAATAACAATAAACCGAAGGATTAGAAAAAGGTAAATGTGGGAAAGTTGGGTAGTACAGAACAGGTAGTTAAATAGGGATGAAAAAAAAAGGAGGTTGGTGGTTGTGTCCACAAGATAATAGTTACGAATTAAAATGCAAAATGAACTGATTTCATATATTCTGTAGTATTAACCTTAGCACTTTGTAGCTAAGGAGTACTATTGTATTTATGGAATTGAACAAGTACGTTATGAAACTATTACTATTTTTACAAATGAGGAAACTACACAGAGTAATTAAGCGACTTGCTCGGTATCATTTAGCATTTGCAAATGAAACTACAAGAATATATAGGCAGGTTTAATAATGATGATAGTAGACTATGAAGTTAACATTATTTGATTTTTAACTAAACTGATCCTCACAGATGGAGAATGAGTCCTGCAAATAAAATATAGATTACAGATTTTACTAATAGTGCAAAAGAAAGTGAACAAAGGCAAGGAAAAAAACCAAAGCTTACCCTTAGTATGAGTGAGATGTACCTAATGCCAGTGTGAAATCTTCACAATTACAACAATTTAAAGGCTGTGCATCTGGGGCAGTTAATAATTTTGGGGAGGGGAGGTTAGAACCAAAAGGTTTGGGCCTTAAATAATAAAAATTATTTTTAAAATAATGTACACTATACCTCTGGTCTTTTCTTTTCCAATCTCTGTGTATGTCTTATATGTGCATATCATTAATTCAAGAGTGTATGTTTTTAAAATATGCGGAGTATATTGAAACTACATAATGAACACTTTTTCTAATAGAATATAATATCAAAAAAGTTTGTAGACTACCATTTTAAACAAAGATGAGTTTTCTAGATAGCTAAAGGGAAAAACATTCCAGGCAAAGAGAAGAGATTATGCAATGTTGGAAAAGTATGTAACAAGGTATTCACAGAGTTGGAGATAGTTTAAAATTACGTATTATATAAGAACTAGACCTAGGGAAAATACAGGAAAACCAATGTCCGATAATAGCAATGTAGTTGAATAATTACATGAACTCCATATTATTTGGTCAGTAGAAATTACAAAAACACTAATAGTAACTCAAATAATACTAATTGAAAAATAGAAAATTTCAGACTGTATATTGCCATATATTCTATTGAAAAGACAAATTAATGCTATTTGTAGGTGAAAATACTCACGTTAGATGTTTTCATTAGTATTTTTCAATAAATTTCTGTTTGGTTTCCAAAGGAAATTGACCCCAAAATAGCTTATTTCTTCAGGATTCACATAACCCTCAGAAAACTTCTGATTGCATGGAATTTTCCACAACTCCAACAAATTTCTCTACAAAACTTTCCAACACTAATATTTGTACTGATAATTCTTTATGATGGATTATAAGTTATTAAAGCTAGTCAGTATTTATTGGGCATATACTGTATGCAAGATAGCTATTAAGAACCTGACATAAAGTAGTCAGTAAGCT